CTCAGTCCAGCAATTTGTGTGTCTGTCCTGTAGATGTTGCTGCTGGCCAGAGCCAGATGGAGCATGCTGTTCCCGAGTTCCCCACAAAGCTGCTGCTCCCAGGATCAGCCTGGGCTGGGAGCTGGGCACTGGGGAGCCCTTGGGGAGAGACAGAGAACATGGCAGTAGGAGACACTTCCCCATCAAAGTTAGGTGTAGGACAAAGAGCTGTGCAGAACTGTAGCCCTCTGCAGAGTCCCAGGCACACTGGATTTTGAAAAGGATCTCTGCCAGATGTACTCCCAAATTACTTCTGTGCATCCAGCCTGCCCTGGATGGAACTTGGTTTATGTGTCTCCAGCTTCTCTTCCAGCCCAAAGCCCCACAAGCGGCAATGATTTGACATGGCCAGATGGCAGGGTTAAATGGAAGGCTGGGAAGAAATATTTTACAAGAATCATCAAAAAATGGCACAGGTTGCCCAGGGAAGCTGTGGTTGCCACATCCCTGGAAGGGTCCAAGGCCAGGTTGGATGGGACCTGAAGCAGCCTGGGACAGTGCAAGGTGCCCGCGGCAGGGGGTGGCACTGTGGGAATTTGAGGTTCCTCCCGCTCCGCAGCCCTCTGTGATTCTACATCTTGGGATGTGTGGAGCTCAGGGCTGGCCTGCAGAGGGAATCCTAAGCCCGTGGAAGGCTCCAGCCTCAAATCCTGGCGTCCCCAGCCAAAAACCTCAGCCTTGCTCAGCCTGTCATGGAGCATTTCTCTGCTTCTCACTTCTCCCGAGGAGCTGGCAGGGTTTTGCCACTACTGGTTCTCCTCCCAGTCCTCCCAGGGATGATGCTGGCCCTAGCCAGGCTGATCTCTTCCATGGGTGCAGGTGGGACGTGTCATGGTGCATACAGGAGGTACAGACAGGCCCATGACACTGTGCTCTCCCATTTTTCCTCTCTATCCTTCCCTTTCGCTTTAGTCAGCCTTTCTTCAGCCGGTCTCCATGCCTGGAGGAGAATCCCTTACCACTGTCCTCTCTGTATCTCTGGTTTGTACAGATTACAGACTATTCATTTGGGTTTGTGCTTGGCAACATGCTCAGACTCTAAAAGAAAAAATGACCAGCTTTCCCATTCCAGGTTGGACTACGTGCTTCCATCTGTAAATTACCTTCTTAAGCCTCACCGGTCACTGACCGCCTTAAACCCTCAAAAAGGTGTGGCTTTAGAACTCTTCAAAGCCCAACGGCTCTCAAGCAAGGTGGAGTTTCACACATTGGAAAGGAGTTCATGGGAAACACTCTGATGAACATTCCCCAAACACAGTCACCTTCAGGAGACCTCTGAGGCGCTGGATCATCCAGCAGGATGGGAACAGGGAATTGTGGGCTGGATTGGGTTGGAAGGGACATTAAAGCTCATCTCATACTAACCCCCTTCATGTGGGCAGGGACACCTTCACTGTCCCAGGCTGCTCCAAGACCTGTTCAGCCTGGCCTTGGACACTTCCAGGGCTCCAAGGGCAGCCACAGCTGCTCTGGGCACCCTGTGCCAGGGTCTGCCCACTCTCACAGGGAGGAATTCCTTCCCACCTAATCCTGCCCTCTAGTTTTTGAAGCCCCACGTGAGGAGAGGAAACCCATGAGGCTTCAGGCTTAGGATGAGAATTGTGTGACTGTGTGGCACAAGGAAAATATGGGCTTTGCTCCATTTAGCTCTTCTGTGGTGTTCTCTGCAGGGTGATGGGTGATGCATGCTGATAACAACATGATTAGTCGCTGCCTGACCAGCATCCTGGCCTGTCCCAGCACCAGTGGGGCAGCAGGACCAAGGCAGCGCCTGTCCTGGTGCTGGTACTGCTGGAGCACCTCGAATCCTGGGGACAATCCCAGGTCACTCACTCTGAGGAGGACAGCAGCTCCTCTGTTTCCAAACAGGACTTACTCCTGCAGCCCAGTTCCTTCAGACCGGCTTCCAACAATTCTGAGTCCTGCAGGTTTCCAGCTCCGTTGCCTACAGCTGACATCCCTCTCATGTGCATTTCTCCTCGCCCATGCTGGATCAAACGTCAGGGACGCAGGGCTACAAACTTCCAAGGAGAGGTACAGCGTGCAGCCAGCTCCTCCAGCCTCCAGCCTGGCCAGCTCACACTCCAGCCACTGGGCTTGCAAGGTAGGGAATGCTATCAGAGCCATGCTGTTTACTCAGTAGTTTGTAGGAGATTCTGTTTTCATTCTCATTTAAAAAAAACAACAAACATAAAGTGAGTTTGACCTAAAGGCTCAGGAACCAGAAGACAAACAGAACACACCCATATTTTGTTATTTGCAGGCCAATGCCATGTTTTTTGGAGCCCGATTCATGATCACAGATGGATTGATGTTGGCAGTATTAAACTTTCAGACAGATTCCTTCACAGATGAAGATAAAGAGCCTTGGTTTTGCCAAAGGGTGAATGTATTCTTTATGAGACCCAACAGAGATGTAACATAGCACCTTGCTCCTGACAAGGCTGGCCTTTATTTCCTGGGTCTGCACTTAGGACATGCCTCAACTTTCCCATAAGTTTTAGCCCTGATGTGGGGCCAGGATCTACAGTCCTGAATTCAGCTGTTGCTGTTGCAGCAGAGGCACAAAATAACTTAATTTACTTGGACTTTGTGTCTCCATTTTTCTAAGTACTTTCATAACGTGACCACAGCACTGTGCTACACAGGCTTTTCAAGTCAGCCCTGTGCAAAGGAAGAGCTGGGAGAGGAGGTACCAGCTTTTCCTGGTGGGAGCTGGAAGGAGCCTGCTGTTTATCCAAACCCCTTTAAACATCTTTATCCAGGCATGAGGGGAAAATAGAGGGGCATTGCTAGAAAAATTTGCAGAGAGCTGGAAATGAGTGGAGCAGAGAAAAAAGGTAAGTGGCATTAGGTGGTGACAACTTTAATCTCTGGGTCTAACAGCAGCAGGACATGGAGCTGCTGGAGAGAGCCCAGAGGAGGCCCCAGAGCTGCTTCAAGGCTGGAGCCAGGCTGGGAGAGCTGGGGGTACTCACCTGGAGAGGAGAAGGATCCAGGGAGAGCTCAGAGCCCTTGCAGGGCCTAAAGGGGCTCCAGGAGAGCTGGAGAGAGACTGGGGACAAGGTGTGGAGGGACAGGACACAGGGAATGGCTTCCCACTGCCAGAGAGCAGGGATGGACATAGGGAAGAAATTCTTCCTTGTGAGAAGAATTCCCATTTGTGGTTGGCCCTGGAATGTGACAGCACAGCTTGTGCTCTCTGTAGAGGTCAGTGCCAGATGATGTGCAGAGTGTCCCTGGATTCTGGGCTCCTGTATCCTCAGAGTTCCTGGGTCCTTCAGCAGAATCCCACTTGCCATTCCCAGGGGAGGGCACTGAGTGGTAAAATTGTCATTAGAGCTGGTAAACGACAGATTGTGACCATCCCTGCAGATGTCTCAGCCCTGTCCTCTGCTCTGCACACTGGGCTGTGCTCTTGGAGGGTCCCAGGTAATCCTGCATGGGAAGAGCCAAGGTGAGGTGAAGATTCACCTGCTTTTCATCACTAGGGTTTAGTGTTTCCCCCTTTCTTCCCAGAATATATGTCCAGCCCATGTGGGAACAGAAATGGGTCTTGATTTCTTTTGCTTGCAGATTAAAGAGAAAATAACAAAGCCGGTGATTCAAAGGGATACTAAAAGCTTTCTTATTACAAAGATTTCCCTCATATCCAGCTCCAGGAACAGGCACCTGCAAGGATGGTTTGGTACAAGGGCATGTTGGCACCTGGGGTAGAGAGGCAAAATTAGGAGATGGATAGAAATAATATGTTTTTTCTGCAGAAATTGCCCTTGATTTCTTTCATCTCTGCAAGAAATGTGGTTGGTGAGACCAGGATAAGGGGTCTGGGCACACCGTGGCAGACCAGTGGCTTGGGGCCACTCTCAGTGTGGGATGGCAGCAGGCACAAATATCTCACACCCCGGAAAGCCCAATCCTGAGCTTGAATTAAGAGAACAAAATGAACAGCTTGGCTGATGGAGGGGATCTCCTGTCACCAAAGGGATCACAGGTGATGACAGTTCCTTCCTGGCCAGTGGTGTGAGAAAGCCGAAGGAGATAATGGGAAGAGAGAGCTGTAGACATGAAGGCATTTGCCAAGAAGAAGCTCAGTAACCCTGCAAAGTCTGGGAGCTCCATCCAAGCCTTCCCAGGGGTGGAACATGAAGGTGTTTATTGCTGCATTAAAACCTGTGTGCTAATGAAGCGTCTTGCTCTGAGCACCCCTGAGTTGTGAAGGTGGAACAGGAGGAGCAGGTGAAGAACCACACAAAATCTGGTCTAAGGAAGCTGCAGAAATTCACCTCCATCACAAACTGGTGGCCCTGGCTTATTCTGGCCATGGGAAGTGGGGACACAGCTGCTCAGGGAGCATCCGGTGCTGCCCAGCTTCTCCATGAGGATCTCGGAGAGCAGAAAACTGAGCCCCACAGACAGGCAGGGAAGGGCTGGCAGCCCGAGCTAGACCACTTTGTGCAGGACCTGGGAAGCAGCAGGAACAGCAGCAACGTTGTTTGGAGGCCAGGTGGCTTCTCCAGGGATGATGGCATGACCAGTGCTTTTCCAATGATGGTGTTTCATGCCCGTCATGCAGAGCTGGGTGGGAGCACTGCTCCCCACACTGCTGGGGTGGTGGGGGAGGGTTGGAACTGTGGGTTGGGACCAAGGGGCTCCTGAAGGCAGGGGCTACACTGGGAATTTAAAGAGCTTTATGAAGCGGAGGGAATGCCAAGCAGCTGGTGGGGAGAGCCGGGTGTCCAGGTGGCATTTGTTTGGGGCGCTGATGTTCCCCATTAATGTCACCTCTTGGCTCGTAGCCCCCAGGGCGAGGTCCAACCCGGCAGAGTCCCGGCCAGGCTGCAGGGCTGCAGGGGTTAACCCTGCGGCTCCCGCACCACCTCTCCGCCCGCCCTCCCTCCTCCCTCCCGCCGCCGAGGAATTTCCTAAAACACCCCCCCCCCAAAAAAAGTGGGAATATAACAATAATTTAAAAAAATTATAAAGTACCCACCCTGTGGTTTCCCCCTCCCGCTTCGATCTCCGCCTTTAATACCAACAAACAACTCCTCGACTCTCCCTAAAGGAGGCGTCTTTGATCGAAGCGAGACGAGCCCCGCCGGGCACCGGCATCGGCATCCCCGGGCACCGACACCGCCGGCACGGGCACCGCGACGGCCGGGCACCCACAGCCCCGGGCACAGGCACCGCCGGGCACCGACAGCCCTGACAGCGGCACCGGAGCGCTTCCGGCACCGGCATCCCCGGGCACTCACAGCCCCAGCTCCGGCACCTCCGGGCACTGTCATCCCCGGGCACCGACATCCCCGGGCAGCGGCGGCTCCGGGCACCGACATCGCCGGGCTCCGGCAGCCCCGGGCACCGCACTGTGCTCCGAGGCGCCCGACCTCGGGATCGAGACCGCGGTCCCGCCGGGCACCAGCAGCGGGAGCGAAGCCCTCAGCGCAGACCCCGAGACGTCACCGGGACAGCGGGCAGCGCGCCCCGGGCACCGGGACCGAAGCCCCAGGGCACCAGCACCAGGTTGCGATGCTTCCCGGGGTGGGTCCCCTCGCCTTCTTCCTCCGGTGCCTCCTGCTCCTCTTCGCCGCCGAGAGCCGAGCCCGGGCTCGTAAGTTTTACCCGCTCTTGTCCCGGCTGCGCTGCTTCCCCCCGTGCCTCAGTTTCCCCGGCACCGGCGTCCCCAGGAGTTTGCGCGGGTGCTTGGCGGGCATGGCTGAGGGCACAAGGAGGTGCCACGGCAGGTGTTGGACCTCGGCGGCTGGGATGTCCCGGAACATGCCACCGGCCAGGTTTGCTGTCCCGCGCTGCTGGGGACATGGCTGTGTCCCCCTCTGTCTGCTGCTGTCCCCGCCTGCTTTGCGGGGCTCTATAGCACCGAGCACTGCTCTGCGCGCTGGTGATGGGGCTGGGGGGCTCCGGGGGTTGGCAGGGGCGGGAGGAAGGTCCGGGACCCCCTTCCATGGGGTAGAAATGCCACAGAGCAGGAGGTTGTCTGACAGACCTTCCTCTGCATAGATCCCACCCTGCACGAGTGCATCTCCCCCCGAGGGTGGACGGGGACAGGGACAACGCCTCCCCCACCCCAAACAAAGCTGGAGGCTTTCCTCCATGTCCATCCCTCGTCCATGTCCATGTCCATCCCTGAGTCTCTCCCACTTTTGCTCCCAGTGGGCTGACTGAGGCAGAGAAGGTTTGGGATAAAGAAGGGAGGTTTGGCACTTCCCATAGAAAGGCTTGAAGGATTTGGCCAGAGCTGCTCAGGAGCTTGGAAGGTGCTGGACATGTTAATTTGGGCCAGGGGGTGGGCTTGGCTTGGGAAAAGCACTGGGACCATGCCAGTGGGTGCTGGGCAACATCGCAGAGCCATCAGAGCTCAGAGTAAACTGGAGCAGGACCTATTGTGCCCCTACATTTATTCTGCCCTTTAATCTCCTGGAATCCCAGCGGAGTCTGCCGGTGGCTTTGTCAGGGTGATTTACAACTCGCCTGCTGCCAGCAGTGCATTAGGCACTCAAAAAATCATCCTGCTGGAGTGTGGACCCAAAACATGAGCACTGGATTGCTCATCCCGACTGTGGGGTGTGCTGGGGGGAAAAGGGGGTGGATGGATGGGGCTGTGCAAAGCCCTGGAGAGTAAACTCCAGGTGGATGCAGCTCCTTTCCCTTCCCTGGGCTCATCCAAAGCCCACAGCATCTGTTTCTTGAATGAGGGGTGTGGGTCTGACTCCCTGCCCCTACCAGGCTGCCGTGGTAGGGCTGGGAAGAGGATGGAGCCACGTCCAGAAGGTGAAACAGGTATTAAGTGAGGTGTTTGCTCTTTGCAGGTCGCAACAGCCTGTAAGCTGGGCATAAACTATGCTGGATTGGGGCAGTAAGGGCTTGTCTGATTTGGGGGGAAGTGCTGGGGCCCGTTTACAGGACTAAAATGCTGATGAAGAGCTGGTGACTGTGGGATTGAAGCAGGGCTGGAGCAGGGAGGTCCAGGGTCATTGAAATGCTTTCCAGCTTTCCAGCTCTGAAACGCTTCAGCTTTGCTGCAGGGCCTATCACACCACGTGGAGGGCTCGGCCAGTACTTGCCCCAAGGTCAAGGGCAGGCTGGTTTGGGTGACAGAGTCATCATCAAATTGTGGTCTTCTCTCCACCGGCCCCCTCTGCAGGCTCACACTTTTCTCAGAGCTGGGTGTTCAGGGAGAGTGAAGACAGGAATAAATTAGTTACGAGCAGGCTCATCAGCCAAGGGACCTACAGTGTCGTGGCTAAAAATAGGTGAGAAGCAGAAATGCTCGGGCTTGAAGGCAAGTCAGAAAAGAAGAATTTGCCCACAGAAACAGGCTATTTTAGGGGATTTGCTCTCTAGCTGAAGAGAAATATCAGATGCACAGGTTACTGGGACGAATGTGCTGCATTCTGAGTAATTCAGGGGCAACGGTTGAATGCAACAATGTTTTGGCTGGAGGCATCTAAACACCAGCATCTCTGCAGAGCATGGGGCAGTGGTTTTCCCCAGGAGCTTGGAAGCTGCAGTTTCATTTCTTTTTAACGTGGTTGCTGGAGACAAGGGGGTTCCTGGGATCTTTCTGTCCTACAAGTTTGGGTCCAGCAGGGATGAAGGGTGCTCCAGATGGGAAGGACCATGATGGAAAGCGAGTGCTACCATGGCCATGGTAAGGGAGAGGCTGCACACCCTGCTTTACGAAACGGAGCATTCCCTTGGGAAGGAGTGTGGGAAACAGGACCCTGTCTGCTTGGCTTCTCCACTCTGGAGAACTCAGAGATGCTTCATGAGGCTGCATTTCAGAGCCACAGAGCTCTCCAGACTCCCAAAACCCCAAGAAGATATTTCCAGCTCAGAGCTGAGCGAGGCAAGTGTGCAGGAATTGATGTAGATGTGAGCGAAGCCTTTAGGATGCCACATGTCAAGGGCCCCATGTGTTTTAACCAGTCCCTTCTCAGCTAAGTTGCATTTTAAGACCTTCATAAATATAAGGCTGTCACAGGAGTGCCTGGACTCTGTGTACCAGACAGTGCTCTTTACACTTTATTTATGGCTGCTCTTAAAAACAGGTTTGCATGAGCTCCCTCCCTCAAGCCCAGCACAGCACTGGCTGGTAGGTGTGTGACCTCCAGAAAAGCTGAGAGCTCAGCTCAGACATGCCCTGCTCCAGGGACAACTCCAAAGGTGTCATCTGGGGATTCAGGACCACCCTTCCCCCCTCAGCCTCGGGATGAAATAGGAGAAGAGGAGTGAGGGGAGATGAGCAAGACCCCACGACCTCTTATTGAGCCATCAAATTGCTCAGAACACTCACAGAGGCAGAATCACAGAACCCCCTGTGGCTTGGGTGGGAAAGGACATTAAAGATTTAGGATAGGCATTGTGGGAAGCTTTCCAGCTACCAGGAAATAGAAACCTCACCAGAGGCTGTGGCAGAAGCTCCAAACAGCATCTTCATAAAGTGGTTCAGAGACACCAGCTCATGGTGACAAACTGAATGGTGTGGAGAAACCCTTCCTGGGCTGCATCTCTCACACCACAAGAAGGGAATGTTTCCTTAGGATGTGCCTCAGACACCAGCTTCAGACACCAGCCACCAACAAGATGCCACCCCACAATTTTTGACCTGCTCTAGATCCAGTGAGAAGTAAACCCACGTGACTTTTCTAAGTGCGCTGCTGCTGGAGGTGCAATAAGTAAGATCACCTTGCTGATCAGCATGGGAGAAATTCATGCCACAAATGGCTTTTCACTCCAAGTAAACTAGGATGATGTCCAAAGTTTGACCTCTGAACATGAAATTATTAGCCTGGCATGGGGAAAAAATGGTCCAGAGCCTCCAGCTTTTAAGCCTCATCCATCCATGTATCCATCCATCCATCCATCCATCCATCCATCCATCCATCCATCCATCCATCCATCCATCTCCATCTTGCTCTTGCCCAAGCACGCCGGCACCTCTTGCCAAAAACATAGCACTACTGAGACGCCAGCAAGTGTCTCCTGTTGCCCAGCACTGCCAGTCAGCTTTAATTTTACCAGCAGGCCCTTTGCAGACATGAATCAGGCTGCTTTCGAAGGCTGGACCCAAACCAGGGCTCCACTTGTGATTAAATGTTTGAAGGAAGCAGCCAACTGGCATGGTAGCCTGAGAGCTGAGCAGGGCCGCGTCACACCAAGGCAACTCAATTTCTTCACCCTCAGCATAATTCATGAGGATGCTGCAAGCAGGGAGAGATGAAGTCATTTTCTCACCCTTTTGCAAAACTATGATTTTTTTTTTGGGGTAGTTTTGGTTTTATGTTTGTTTTCAAGCCACATGCTCACCAGTTCTGTGTGGTTTGCTGTAAACTCATGACCTTCATGGCCAGGAACTGGAAGTTGCTGACTCTCAAGAGCTATGGAGGCAATCTGAAGCCCTTATCAGGGAAAAGGAAGGAAAATACTGCTGCCTGTCCCTCTGGTAACACCCACGCCAAAGCTATTGCAAGTCTCCACATCTGCAGATGCAGCGGTGGCCCCATGCCGCTGTGAGTGGGGTACAGCTTGGAGAATCAAGTGCTTAAATACATCAGAAGAGACTCTCAAATATGCTGGCAGGGCTTGAACTGGAAGAGACCTATGAAGATCTTTGTGGACCAACAGGGCTACCTTTCCTGCTGACTAGAAGGTCTGGCCTTGGAAGAGCATCACTGGAGTTCATCCTGAGGGTGGTCATGAGCTCAGGAGGGACTGCAGCCCACCCCAGCATATTTGGATGAATTTTTTCTGGTTGATTGGAGAAATCCATTAAGCAGGTGGCATCTCCAGCTTCGGCAAGGTGGGACAGCACCAGCTGGGCCCTCCAAGCCCCTGCTGTGTCCCGGGTGACAGAGTGGAGTGTGGGATGGCTCTTAGCATCTTAGGGCGGAGTGAGAGCCACTGAAATAATTCTGGGGACCCTCTGCTATCCATTAAGGAGCCCTCCCAACAGCCTGGCAGGGTCAGCACCTGCTGGCTCACCTGAATTCATGCACTGTGTGGTGGGCACCATGCCTTGGAAAACAGCCCTCCCCCTCTCCTGTATCCCCAGGGTGCTGCAAGGTTTTAAAAGACCCATAAATGCTTCAGGAACCGTAAATGTCTCCACTGCCTTCAAGCAACTCAATCACCCAAACTACCAAATTCCCTCGATGACATAATCTTTAAAACCACCTTCAGTTTCTAGAGGGGCTGTGAGCATATAAACCACAAAAATCACCCACAGACAGGTGTGTGCTTAGAAAGAGCTTGGGTCCTGGGGTGACCGTCTGCCTGCTCCATGGGACAGTGGAGGCAACACCCTGGCTGTTACAGGGTCCAGGTTCCTGCAGATCCTGCTGGGTTTGGAGCTCACTGGAGTCAGAGCAGTGCTGCATCAAGCCAGGTGAAGCCAAAGGGCTGAGACCCAGTGGGATGGCACAAGCAGCCCAGTCCTGCTTGTCCATCCTCGAGAGAATGAACTGAAGCTCTTAGGGGGAGCAAAAGGTTTTCCCCCAGAATGTGTTTTCATCCATGATTCCATGATTTTTTTGTTGTTGTTATTATTTTTTTTAATCCCAGCCCTTTTTTTTTTTTTTTTTTTGGGGGGAGGGGTGGTGGTAACAGTGAAAATGTCCCCTAAATTCAGGGTCTTCCATCTCTGTCGCCACTCCCAACCTTTCTGATCTCACTGGGGGAAACTCCATCCCGTAGCATCACCCTGAAATGACCTGTCCATCTTCCATCTCTGTTTTAGAGTGAAAACTCTATTTTCTGCCTCAAAACCACCCATTCTGTTCCTTTCTTGCAAAGGGAGTCCAGTTTGCTCAGAGGAGTTGCCACTCGGGTCGGGTGGGGTCCCAGTGTAAAGAATACATGCAAAAAAGAGTATAACCAGGGGGAACAAAATCTGGGTTTAGTGGGTGGGATGTGGGGAACATCGTGAAGGCTGTCCTTGCTCTCATCACAGAGAGCCCTCCCAGGAAGCAGTCCCTTTTCTCGCCTGGCTTCTCCGGGTTATTTGCAGGGCCGGAGGCGTTCTGCGACTTCAACGGCAAGAAGTACAGCCCGGGGGAGAGCTGGCACCCGTACCTGGAGCCCCAGGGGCTGATGTACTGCATCCGCTGCAGCTGCTCCGAGGCACGTCCCAGGGCGCGGGCTGGCAGGGACCTGCTGATAACGATGCAGATAAGGATGCTAATGATGTTAATGATGCTGCAGCTGCTGCTGCTGCACTGGGGCTTCGCTGGTCACCTTTGAAGCAGATCGGTCCCGTTGTCTCATTTGACCAGAGGAGTTATTTCCTGGGCACGCAGATAATGATAGGCCAGGGGAAGGGTTCTAAACTAGAAGAGAGGAAGTTTAGATGAATATGTTCACAAGGAATTGTTCCCTGTGAGTGTGGAGAGGCCCTGGCACAGAGTGCCCAGAGAAGCTGTGGCTGCCCCTGGATTCCTGGGGGTGTTCGAGGCCAGGTTGGAGCAAGCTGGGATAGTGGAAAGTGTCCCTGCTGATGACAGGAGGTGGAACAAGATCTTAAAAGTTCCTTCACAGCTGAATCATTCTGTGATTCCATGGTTCTGCCTCTGTAGCCCTGGTGGGCAGTGGGTGGAGGTGGCTGAGGGCTACTGTAGGATGATGGGTGGCCTTTGCTGATGAGAGTCCAAGGCTGAGTTTGAGCCAGGGCTGGAGCCATCCTGGTGAGTTACAGGCAGCACAGTTTGTTGTGATAGTGTGTTCATCATCCTGCAGGGGTGGACCATGAACTGAATGTTCCCTGTGGACTAAAAAAACCACGTCTCTCTCTCCCCAGAGCACCAACATCAGATGCTACCGGATCCAGTGCCCAGCTCTGCCATGTGCCAGCCCTGTCACCGAGCCTCAGCAGTGCTGCCCGCGGTGTCCTGGTAGGTGGACATTCCTCAGGGCTGGGGTGACAAGGTGGCCACGGTCCTACAGGGCAGTGCCTCCACTGCTGCCACCTGTGGCAGCGCTGTGATGCCGGCTCTGGCCCTGGTCACGGAGCTCCGGCTGCTTTTTCCCTCCAAAAATCTTGTTTTGATGGAAAAGGCTGCCAGACCACCTTCTCCCCCCTCCCCATCCCAAGAGCTTTGTAGGGATAAAGCATCAGTTTACACTTCAGGGGCAAAAAAAAAAAAAAAAGAAGTTGGCAATTTGTTCTGATCATTTGCCAGCTAAGTGTCTTGGATTTAAAAAAATTTATGGTTTTTTTTCAACTTCCTTCTCTGCACTGGAGACTATCTCAAGTTTTAGCCCCAAAACTTTTTCTACCTTACCACTACTGATTGCCTCATTTTGCCTCATTATGTTCATTCTCACCCCACAGATTACATCAAGATTTAGTTCTAAAACTTTCCCTACCTGAATGCTGGCAGAGCTAGTCAGAAACCATTCGTGATTTGAGATATTAGGAAAAAAAGATATGGAAAAAACGAATTAATTTTCATTTTTTTCTAATTACCCATGAGACAAGCGCTTTTTACCTGACTCCATCTGAATCTGGCAATCGCTACAGCCATGGGAGGGAAAAACGCAAGAATTTTGTTGAGGTCAGACTTCCAGGTCTTCCCTCTGTGCTGAGCTCAGGGCAGTTGGGGCAGCCCCGTCCTCCAACAGCTTTTGGACACTTCATTGCTGACCAGCCACGCAGCACTTCAGAGTGTGAAGTGACTGCTGGTCATCTTGGGGTGGGCTGGTGGTGCATCAGCGCTGCACTGGGGCCAGGCTCTCATCCCGCTCCTCTCTCATCCTCTTTCCCAGAGCCTCACTCCCCATCCGGCCTCCGTGCCCCCACCAAGTTGTGCCAGTACAATGGGACGACATTCCAGCAGGGCGAGATGTTCAGCAGCAGCGAGCTCTTCCCCGGCCGCCAGCCCAACCAGTGTGTGCAATGCAGCTGCTCCGTAAGCCACCACCCCAGCACCTGGGCCTGGGCTCTCCCCCACCCTTACCGCCCTCGCATGGGGCTGGCCTCCAGCACTCTGTGCTTTGAGTTTGGCCGGGAAATAAAAGAAGGGGCAAAAGAGCCCAAAGCACCTCCCTGTGTCACGCCAAGAGCGCGCGCACACCACACACACACACACACACACACACACACACACACACACACACACAGGGGTTACATCAATTGATGCTGGACAAGGAAGGATCTGTGCTACTGGAAGAGCTACTCTGAGCCTCTGGTGCAGGCACCCACCTCGGAGCTGGGTGACAAGAGGAATAACTGACACATGGAAGTGATGCAGCTTTTGAGGAGGCTGGTTCCTCTCTTAGGGACCCCAGCGGGCGGTGGGAAACACTGGGAAGGAGCCCTCTAACCCCACTGCATGTGCTCATCTGCCACTGTCCCCAGGAGCCCGGGGAGCTCCTCTCAGGGGCTCTGTGTTTTTGTCAGGGTAATGCCTCGGATACAAAGGGGAAAATAAAGGGCTGGCTTTGGAGCCTGCAGTGGGGGAATCTGATGTGGTCAGCTGCTAGAACAGCTGTGTGAACAGCTGGTCTAACCCTCTTTGAAAACTGCCCCAAGAGCAGAGCCTGGGGGATAAATCCTGCTTTTAGGGCACTGGTTGTTCCCTGCCTCGGGCAGGTCATGGCTGCGAGCTGCTGGCAGAAGGGAAAGGAAGGGAGAGGCAGGTCTGGACTCCCCAAGTGCAGAGCAGGGTTTGGTATGCAGTGACCTCTGCCAGATCCTGTCACCCACCAAACTTCCCTCATCCTCCTTGTGTTCCTCGCGCAGCCGTTTGCCTTCCTGATAGGAGAAGAAGCAGCTATGCTTTGGTTTTCTGAGGATATCCTTGGCTGAGCTCTCGGTCTTGGTTGACTTGACTGGGAGCTTGTGGATATCCCAGAGAAAATTGGTGCATGGAGAAGGTGACCTTACTGTCGAGGTCTGGCTGCTGAACATCCTTTTTTACCCTTTGGCAAAGTAGCAAAAACTTATTCCTGCAACAAACTGGTGCAAATCCACTGATTGAGGTGGCACTGGGATGCACCAAGGTCGAGGCTGGCCTCAACCTGTGGTTTTCAGCTTGAATCATCTACAGGAAAGATATTTTCCAAACTATCCACTCAGGTCTATCCCTGCACCTGGGTGTGCTTGGCTCTGGTATTGTGGAATTAACCAAGAGAGAGGGAGGGCAGAGCTTTGGTGTGGACCTCAATCTGGGCTCAAGGTCATGCTTCCCATTTCCACCCATCTCCTCTGGGTCCTTTTCCTGGCAGATGTCAGGGAAAACCTTCTTGGGGGTTGTTCTGCAGAGCTGAGGGGCATGTGGTGGCTGTTTCAGGCCTGACAGCACTAGTGATGCCTGAGAGGGAGGCACTGCCTGCCCTTTTTGAGGAAGAACAGTGTACTGTCCATGGAAAGGCTGTGCCAGGAGAGGACACAGCCCTGCTGTGCCCTGCAGGATGGATGGTGCAGCAGGGACAGACTTCAGCTGTCAGCAGGTGCTGGATGATTGGTGGTATTCTGATCCTGGACTCAGAAAATCCTGGAATGGTTCGGGTTGGAAGGGACCTAAATGGGAGACATACGGCTCTTAATAATGCTGACAATGTGGTTTTTCCTTCTGCTCCCCTAGGAAGGCCAGATTTACTGCGGCTTGGTGACCTGCCCCGAGCTGCTGTGCTCCTCTCCCTTCAGTGCGCCGGATTCCTGCTGCCCGATCTGCAAAGGTAATGAGGCTGGGACTGAGGGCTGGTTGCCACCTGTCAGCAGGAGCCATTTCAAGCCACTTTAGCAGGATTTTGGAAGATTGGGCTGTAAATCAGGCCACTTGTTATCTTTTGGTTGCATTAGGAAATGAAAGCTGAGGGCTTGGGTTTTCCTTGGATAATATGAATTGCACGTGCAAAGCTCCTGTCTCTCCAGACTCCTGGCTAGACCAGAACATGGAGGAGAGCTGCTTACATCCACAGAGAGCAAACCTCCCTTCAGCCCCGCAGCATCTTCCAGGACAGTGTTTTTCCCTTGCAGATGACTCCTTTGAGAAGTCCACAGAAGAGGAACCCCTGCAGTTAAACAGAGGTGTTGTACGTGACTTTTTCATTTTAAAACGCCACTTCTTGCTTCTAGCACAGCCCCCTGAACACCTCACAGAATGCCCTTGCACATTGTCCTCTGCAAAGAGAACAGCTCTAGGACACTCAGATCCTTGCACAGCAGAACCACAGACACCTGATTTGCAGGTGAATCGTGCCATGGGATTGACTCTAGCTGGGAGATATCAGCCTAGGTGAGACCTCAGGCCATGAGGGAAAGACTCTTCTCTCCCTTGGCAGCATCCTGGGGACATGGCTTAGTGGGGGACCTGGCAGTGTCAGGTGAAGGCTTGCACTCGATAACCTTAGAGAATTTTCCCAACCTAAGTGATTCCGATTCTGTGATTCTATGGCATCCTTGGAAGAGCAAAAGACCTGCAGGAACTGGAAATCTGGGACACTCCTCCTCCTTGTTGGCCAGTGTCTGCCAGGTCAAACAGCCAAAGGACGTTGTCAGAGCAGACCCAGAGGTGATCAGCAGCCAGGCCTGATCCTTGCCCATAGAGCCAGGTGTCCAAATCTCTCTTAGGAGGGTTTTTCCTTCAGGAGAAGGTGCCCCCTCTCCCTGTGGGCATCCAGGTGTCCTGCCTCCCACCAGGAGGGCAGTGCTGGGGCTGGCCACCACTCTGCCTTCCCCAGGCTTTGTATCAGCAGCCCCAGCAAGGAAAAAATTACTCCTTTGCTGCCAAGGGTTCCTTCATGGCGACATTTCAGAGCTGGGCAACCCATGCCAGGTCTGTGGGATTTGGTCACTTAGCTCCTGGCTCTGCACTTTTCCATACTGCTCCACTACCTATAAAACCTCCAAAATAGACACAGGGGACCCTTTGTGCTGCGTGTCGTGTCCCAGCACTCTGCTCTTGGAAGCCTGGGATGTTCCTGGCATTTCAGTTTTGCTGGCTGGCAGCCCCCATGCCATGACTCCCCTGGTGCCTAGCAGGTGAGAGAGCAGGATATGGCCCATCCTCACCTTTCTGATCCTGTCTGAGCCACACAGATGCTAGTCCTCATTTTCCCATCTAGGAAAGGCCAGCCTATTTCCCTGTGTGTTTTAGGGATGCAGGACCTCACACACTTCTCTGAGGGCATTGGGTTGAGTTTGGGTAGAGAAAGGTGTCCCAGTGAGGGTGACCCATGTGAGGAGGACACCAGTCTGGGGCACTGGCACCAACTGCTCAGTACCCCTTGGGTGATGGCAACAGCAAGATGGGGAAGGGTCTGAAGCACCAGGAAAGGCTGAGGGAGCTGGAAAGATGCTCAGACTGGAGAAAAGGAGGCTTAGGGGGCACCTTGTGGCTCTGCACAACTCCTGACAGTAGTTGTCAGAGGATCGGGCTCTGCTCCCAGGAACAGGGACAGGAGGAGAGGGAATGGCCTCAGGCTGGCCCAGAGGAGGCTCAGGGTGGATATTAGAGAAGTTTCTTCCCCAAAACCTTGTTCAGCCCTGGCACAGCTGCCTGGCATTCCCATCCCCTGAGGGATTTAAAAGATGTGTGGATGTGGCGCCTGGGGACACGGGATAACAGTGGCCTTGGCTGGGCTGAGGGAATAGTTGGGCTCCATGATCTCAGAGGAATTTTCCAACCTTCATATTTCTGTGATTTATATGGCTTGTGGGCCATTGCTTACCTCTGTGGTCTCCGCCCCTTCCACTCCTGAGGGAAGGTGTGCAGGACACTGCTTGGCTTTTTCCAGCATGCTCTGGAATGAGAACCACTCTGCTGATGGAGTCTGAATCCCCTCTCTTCTCTGTCTGCTCTCAGAGACACTCACAAGACCAGTGCTTGGGAGAGGTGGTGGGGAGGAAGCCACCCAGAGCCACCGTGTCCACGGTTCTCAGCTCTTCCTTGGAGTTAATTCCCAGAAACTTCAAACCCAAGGGAACAGGTGGCACCACTGTGAAGATCGTCTTGAAAGAGAAGCACAAGAAAGGTAAGGGATGGAGAGGTCAGGCAGTCTGTATGTGACTTAAAGTGACTTCTCCAGAGCTTGGAATTCTTCAGAGAATCTCATTCAGCAGCCGGTTTCCACCAGCAAGTCCTTCTCCCCGCTCTTCCACAGCCAGGTATCTCAGTCCTCATGCCCACAGTCTCCTGACTGCACAAACCCACCACTCTCCAAAATGGGTTGGAAGAAGACTGGTCTTTGGAATGTTTTGGAGATCTGGGACTTGGGAAGGAAGGAGCTCAGCTGGAAGATTCCACATGGGCCTTCCAGCACAGAAAGACAGGATATTTCTCCTTGTGCAAGGGCTGGGTCTGACCCAGAACTGTCCCAGGTGTTCCTCCTGGAGGAGAGAGTAGGAAAGTAAGATGAGGAGCCAAGCCCCTTGATCCAAAGAGGGGAATAACAGGTCCTTTCTCCTCCTGGCTGCTCTCCCACCACCGTGCCTTCAGAAGGGCTCTTTCCAGTCCTTGGGCGTGAAGGCCTGGAGGAAATTTTGGGACCCCCAGAAATTTCCGTGGAGGAGTCAGCAGGTGGCACTCTTCACTGTGCTTCATTCCTGCGACAGCCTGGGAGGGACCCGGGGCTCCCAGAGGTTGGGACCCAGATGAGGTCTGGCCCACACTTGCCTCTGCCCCACCAGGGTGGTCAAGCCCAGCAGAGCCATCTCCTGGCGCTGCTCCCTGTGTCCCGTGGCACCTTCTGGGAGTGGTGGCCGTGGTGTCCCGTGCCTGCTGCTGCCAGAGGACCTTGCTCCTCCACACAGCAGGACCAGCCGCGCCTGAGGCACTGAAAGGCAGTGATGCCACTGAGCCTTGGGCTGACAAAGAGGAGCAGGATTTATGTCCACCAGCAGCTCTTTTCTCTCCCTGCTGCAGCTTGTGTTTACAATGGGAAGACCTACTCTCACGGGGAAGTGTGGCACCCTGTCTTCCGGCTCTACGGCCTCCTGCCCTGCATCCTCTGCACCTGCAGGGATGGCGTCCAGGACTGCCAGAAGGTCAAGTGCCCTAAGGAGTATCCGTGTGAATATCCAGAAAAAGTAGACGGGAAATGCTGTAAAATATGCCCAGGTAGGTGGGATCCAGCCTGCTCCTGCAGCTGCCTTCCAGTTCCTTCCTCAAGCTTGGCTTAAAGCCTCACGCTGACAGAGGTGTAGGGATTCAGATTGCTGGTGGCTAGAATTCACACCAGACAAGTTCAGCAGGGCAAGCACTTATGGAAGGGTTGGCTTGTCTTGGTGGGCAGCAGGACTTTCCCAAGGTAAGGAAGATCCCCAAGACCCTCACAAGGTTCCATCTGTCAGGAGGATGAAGTCTGGAGAAAGATGCCTGAGGCAGGACATGCTTAGAGTGCTTGGATGGAAGGTGCTTTCAGGGGAGAGGACACAGAGTCTGTTCTCCAAACCTCCAGGTGGCACAAAAACCAGAGGGTTAAATTGTGCCAGCTGAGGTGTAGGTGTGAAGGCAGGAGCGAGGACACTTCCCAGGAGAGGGGTTGTCTGTGGTGCTCATGGTTTGTTGGAATTGGAACCCCCCCATCTCTGGAAGGGGAGGTTGAACACACAGGTTTTAGGGTGGTCCAGGTAGAACTGGACTGAGGCTGGGACATGGAAAGGGGCTGGAGCCCCAGGAGAGGCTGAGTGATCTGGAAAGGGGCTCAGCCTGGAAAAAAGGAGGCTCAGGGGAGACCTTGTGGCTCTGCAAAACTCTTGACAGGAGGGCAGGAGAGGAAACAGCCTCAGGCTGGGCCAGGGGATGCTTGGATTGGATGTTACAGACAATTTCTTCCCCAAAAGGTTGTCCAGCCCTGGAACAGCTGCCCAGGGCGGTGGTGAGTCCCCATCCCCAGAGAGATTTAAAAGCTCTATGACACTTGGGGACATGGTCCGGTGGTGCCTTGGCAACACTGGGGGAACAGTCGGACTTGATGATCTCAAAAGTCTTTTCCAAATTCAGTGATTTTGCGATTCAATGTGGAGAAGACCTCTTTTCCTTTTCTGTTCAGTGTACTTTGGGTTTCTCAGCTCTCTGGTCTTTGGAAAGCTGTTTGCCTTAAGCCACAGACCTGGCAAAGATGTGGCAGGGTGTGACAGCTCCTCCTGTTCCCACTGGAGAATGTTTTGTGGATGATACCTCTCTCTGTACTGGCATTTATCAGGAGATATTCAGCTGATGGACCACACGCTGCCTGCCCAGGGAGGCTAAAGGTACCTGAGTGTCTTTGAGCCTGGCTGCAGGGGCAGCAGGTTGTCTGTGATCCCCTCTGATCCGCATCTTACAGGGGTTTCTGTGGAGTGGTCTCACCCAGGAGAACAAGCAAAGGGCACTGCCATGTTTTGGAATGGCTGCAAAGTCATTTGAGCTGAGATTTTCCCCTGAGTGGAGAGGTTCTGGGATGGCCTCCCCAGGGGAGCGAAGGGCAGAAGCTCAGCTTTTTTTAATAGGGTTTTTGATATGTTTATGAGCAGGAATTATGATGTGGTGCCTGGTGGGAATGGGATGTGATAACTGAGCAGAGCCCTTCCAGTCTTGCATTCCCACTCTAGTGGGTCTGTCTGGTTTAAATCCGACAACTTTCCCTGCTTGGATCGGTTGTCTGCTGTTCAGACTTCATTTTATGTCCAATTAAACACCCTGATGCAGCCAAAATTATTTTGTTCCTGCCTTCCAGTTCTCATAGATGGTGATCACACACACACACACAAACATTGCTCAGCCAAGTTACATCCTTGCCCTTTCCTTCACTGTGTGGAGGCTTTCCCAGGTTCCTTTTCCAGGTGCTTTCTGGGACTGCCCTTATCTTCCTCCTTTTTTCCCAGTAACTTAGGAATGCTAAGTGACTTTGCCAAAGTGACCCCCGGCCCCAGGAATTGCTGGGATGTGTTGTGTGGATGGGGGGAACACTGCTGTGGGCAGAGCTGGGGACCATGACCTCTGTGTCCCTGCTGTTCCTCCCAGATGCTGTGGGGGTGAGAAGCTCTTTGGCTGTTAAATTCCTGTTGAATTGCAGGGGTTCCTTTCCTGCTGTGAAGGTGGGGCTTTAACCACGGACTCCATAATCTCAAAGGGCTTTTCCAGCTTTAACAGCTCCACACTTCTGTGAATTCCCTGGAACCAGGTGAAGGTGAAGGCTCTGGGGCAGAGGTTTCCCTGCTCCCTGACCCCGCAGTGGGACATGTGCTCATCCTCCTCTGCCTCACGCTGAACTGCAGAGCTGAGCCTGTCCTCTGGCTGCTGAAAAGCTTCCTTTGCTTCCCTTTAAACTGGGATTTCCATTCCCTCTCAGAGAGGAGAGCTCAGGACCACCCCAAAAAGCCTGGGGGAGAGCAGAATCAGGCCTAAAATAACTGTCTTACTAAAATAAACCCCAGGCATCTATTTATAGCCAAACTTTCTTTCGAGTAGTGTGAAAAGCTTCAGCATCCAAACTGACTGGGAGAACAAGGCTAAATTCAGTAGAGATGGGCTCCTCTGCATTCCAAGGACCACAACCAAAGGCAATAAATCTCCTTCCAAAACCACGGGGCATTCTTAATTACTCCAAATACATAAAAAAAAAAAAAAACAAAACAAACAAACAAACAAAAAAAAAACCGGGAAAAATTAGCAGCTCTTCTTTAGCAAGAATGCTGAAAAAGTCACATAGGACCCAGTGACCCAGTGTGCATGTCCTTGTGGTGACACCCCATGTGGGGAGGGTGCTTGGGCTGATGCTGAGCCCACCTGTGGTGCTGAGCCAGGCACACTGCCCAGGAAGCCCAGGCTCCCCTGCTGTGGGCTCATCCCTTTGCTCCCTTGGTGTTCCTCCCGCAGCAGGAGCGAGATGGGAAGTGGGGAATCCAGCCTGTACTTTGTGGCCATGGTGGTATCAAGGTTGCTGCAGACAGTATGGGGGATGCAGATGGAAAAATCCCCCTTCCCCATCCCTGATGGCACAGAGGCTGCTGGGATCAGGGGGAATGAAAGACGTAGAGAGAATGAAGAGGTCCACAGCTCCTTTATTAACCTCTCCTTTGCTGCTGGTCCTGGAGCTGGGGCTCAGTTCAGGGAACAGATGGGACTGTGCCACGTGGCACCAAAGCAAACGAGATACCTTTTCTGTGACCTGGGTGCTGAGATGTTCCTTCCTGCCCGTTTAATGAACTCTGTCCCTGTTTTTGCTCAGAAACCAGAGTCAAACCCACGGATGAGATCGCCACTCCCCAGTGTGGCAAGAGCCCCAGCCGTGTCCTCGTGTACACGTTTGTGCCGCCACGCTCGGAGGCATCTAAGGAGATCCTCAGGACCATGGCCATCGAGAAGGAGCTGGCAGAAGAGGTAGAAATCTACAACTGGAAGCTGATTAAAGGTGAGCACCATGATGAAAGAAGCCAGGGGAGCAGAAGGTGTGTGTGGAGACCTGATGCTTTCCAAGCTTTGTTCAATTTTTCTGGGTTTTCTTGAGGTGGTCCACCCCTTGCATGGTGAATCAAAACCTGCTGACAGCAGGCTGGCTTTTCTGACTCCCCCATTTCACACTCTTTTCCTGCATTCCATGCAGACATGGGGCTGGAAAACACTTTTGGCCCCACTAAACTCACCATAAGCTGCAACACCATCTGGAGGCACAGCACAAGAGCAACCAAGACAAGGGCCTGGGGGTTGCTCCTGCAAATCTGCCTGCTCTCATTCCAAATGTACATGGAAAACAAACAAAAGAATTGTTTTGGTGACTCTGTGGTTTTGCTTTCACTGTTTTTTTACACCCCAGTCCACCTACAGCTTGAAAGCTGCTGCAAAGGTGCATACACGGGGGATGAATGGTCCCCAGCCCACTTTTCGGATGGGTGGATTTGGATGCTTCTGTTGGTGTGTGCTCCAGAGGTCAAAGCACAGCAAATACGCTGCCAAATGTCTCCAATCTCTTGTTCTTTCCCCACACCTTTAGCTTTGTCCCCATGGAAAAGAGGAGTCCAGGGACAGCTGGTCCCGCAGATATTTGTGCTCTCTTTCTCTGTGGCCCAGGGCAGCATCCCAGCACCCCATTCCTGAGTTTCCACTGGACATATTCTACCCCAAAGAACTTGAGCGCTTCAGGTTGGTTGTACCTTTTCTTTGGACACAGAAATCCTTGGCCTGTGTCTGCTGGACAGGTGTAGCCATCCTGGTCTCCTGGTATGTCCATGTTTCACATCACTCCCTAGGGAGACCTCAGCCAGCTGCTGAGACTGGGCACACTGGGACAGCACCTGAGAAATCAACTCCAGAGATGGAGCCCTGGTTGCCAACATGTTTCCTTCCTGGCCCTGCCATCCTCCCTCCTGTGCGGTGCCCCCCTGCCCGTGCTGCCCCTCCTCAGCGGAGCGTCCCTCACAATGGCACCTTGTGGCTGAGGACAGCTCTGAGCCTGCACTGTCTGGGCCCTGCTGCTTCCTCCCCTCGCTCCTTGGCACAGGGCGGCACCCAAACCTCCTCGGCACCTTCCAAAGCCAAAAGCTTCGCGTCTGCATGGAGCTCCTGAGCCCTGCCAGCCAGAGACAGGGGAGGCCCTTGTCCTCGAGGCCAACGCAGCTCTTTTGCTTGGCAGAGTGAAGTGTTGTTATTGTGAAAGAGCATGAGCTCACTCACATATGGATTCCACCTCTCCACGGCCATCACTCTACCAACAGAGCAGCGTGTGTGGAGTAAAGAGGCTGCAAGTCACACCTGGACCTCGTCCATCTGCCTTTGTGTGGGCTTATGATACCTACATGGCCTCATCTATTCCTGGGCCAGGATGGTTTCCTCCACAAAGCAGGAGTTGGGAGGAGAAATCAGCACCAACTCCCAGCCAAAAGTCTTACCCAGGTGGCTGCTGGCACACAGCTGGCCTCCAGAAGAGTTGCGGTGCAGGCTTCCTCATCTTTTTAGGGGTCTGAACATCACCAGGAGTTTTGAAAATTGACTTTCTGATGTTTTGGACCTGTTGTCCTCTCACTGCAGGCCCTGCTACGAAGTTCATTGCCATCTTTCTTGCAAATCCCCTTTAAAGCACCAAGAATGGTGGTATGTGCCCGACAGCCCCAGCAGCTCGCTCCATCTCATCCCAAACACTACCAGGAATTCTCCTGCCTGTGCCAGGAAATGGCACTGCCCTGTGACAGCTCCCTCCATACTCCTCTCCACTGGTGGACTGTCCTTAGCTTGTACTATCTCGATTCTTGCTGGGGCACAGCCTCTGTTCCTCTGCTGCTCCCCAGCTCCTGGCACGTCGGGAATGACCCTCCCAGGGGGCCAAAGGTCTCAGCCAGCTCTCTGAGAGCTATTGGGGAGCATTATCTAGGTCAGTTGATTAAAAGATGTTTATCTCTTGTAGCTCTTGTTTAAAATGTCCTCTTGGTTACTAATGTGCTGGAAAGTGCTTCATCAGCCCTGGGGACTGTAAGCACACCCTCCTGCTCCTTTCTAATTATAGACCAGAAGAATTTATTGAACACTTGTGCCTTTCTTGCGTCAATAACAGTTTTATTATCTCCATCCAGTATCTTCTTTGTTACTGGTAGGACTTCTTTACCCACACCACTGAAAAGACTAAATAATACTCCAAATATCCATCCACTTCTCTCTCTGCCTTTGACTTCCTGTACTAATTTTCCACAGTTGATAACATCTCATTTATATGGACTGTGAGGCAGTTCCCCCTCATTACATACTCTTTTTAAGTGTAATTGTTGCTGGGAATCAGGGAAAGTCTCTTAACCAAATAAGGGGGACCATGTTGCCTCTCACATCTGCTGGCAGCAAGAGGCTGGATGTTCCGGGAGCCTGAGTGAGAAGTGGGGAAGGATATTCCAGGCATACCTGCCTGGTTTGTCAGGCCTTGCAGGAGAACAGGAATACCACAACCCCTAATCCCACAGGAAGATCACTTGCATTGCTAAAAGCAGGTTCTAGTTTGCATGGGTCAAACATCTGAGTCAGGCATCTCCACTAAGGGGCCAATGCTGGCAGGGGCAGAAATATCAATCTCTGCTGAGGTCACTTGTGTTCTTTCCTGTCCTGGAGCAATTTCAGCGCTGCTGATGAGGAGATAGAAAACTTTGGTCCCTGGCTGCTTCTAGGGAAGGAGATCATCTGAGCATGGAGGGGTCTCTGCAGTTGAGGAACAGAGGTATTTGAGAGTAGGGAGAGGGGACAGAGATTCCAGCATCCCCTTCTTCTCACCTTTATTTCTTTTGTGCTTTTAGGGGAGACTGGAACTCCTGCAGGGCAAGATGCTTTCTGGAGCAACAAAATCCTATTGCTTTCACCTGCTTCATGGTGAAACATCCTGATTTAAGCAGTGACTGTTTTCATAGAACCTTAGAATCTTGGCAAGGTTTGGGTTGGAAGGGAGCTTCAAGCCTTCCCTGTTCCACACCCCTGCTGTGGACAGGACACCTTCCACTATCCCAGTTTGCTTCATCCTGGACTTGAACACTTCCCCACTTGTGTGGCAGCCACAGCTTCTCTGGGCAACCTGTGCCAGGGCCTCACCACCCTCACGGGAAAGAAATTCCTCGTAAAATCTAATCTGATACTTAAATGAGATGTCTCCTGGCCTTGGCCAGCCCTGGATTCATTCCCAGCTCCCACCAGGCTCTGGCAGCAGGTCCTGCACCAAACCAGGACTCTGGGACAGACAGTGTCAGGAGAGGACAGATAATCCAAACTTGTGTGAGGCTCGAATTGGGCATTGCAGAATCTGATGCCCTGTGTCCCCTTCTGCAGGAATATTCCATCTGATCCAGACCAAGAAGATCAGCAAACAAGAATTCAAGCAAGAGGCACAAAACTTCAGGCTCATCACTAGGACAAACGAAGGTAGGGAGAGAAAAATCCCCTTTCCTCACTCCTCCAGCACTCCCTGCCCCAAACTCCTGATTTCCTCCTCTGCTCCAGCCATTCCAAAAGGCTGTGTAAATCCCAGCACGGCGTGGGGAGCTGAACCATGGGGACAGCACTTGTGCAAGTGTAGCTGGGTTGGGGCTGACCTGTCTTCACACCCTACGCAACACTCCTGGTTAACAGCCACATTTTCACTTTATGGTATTGGAAAGGGCAGCCAGCTTTCTAAAAGTGGATGTGCTCTTGTGAAATGCAGAGGTTTTGTCTCTCCAGAGCCCGTAAAACTGTTTGATTTTTATATGTTAATCCATCTGGTGCTCCTGGGAGCATGGGGGAAGGAAAAAAATGGTGCAAGGGATTAGCAAAAAATGAAACTGTTGAAATATGTTTTAAAATCATTCTGGATATTCCGGGATGTGCGTAAGCATGACAAAGAGCAGGAATGCCGGTGCACACGCTGGGAGTGCCTGTACTGAGAGAAGCTGCCTGGCTGCTCCCTGCTGGCTGCCTCCTGGCCTGGCTGAGCTGCAGTTTAGTGGGATAGGCTCAGCTCAGAGCCATGCCCGTAGTGTCCAGCACCTGTGAATTATGGGGTCACTGGGAACAGTGCTGCTGCCCAGGTCACATCAGCACTCCCAGTGCCCCGGGCATGCTGAGGCTTGTTTTCACCCCCAGTCCATTTGAGACAGCATCTTTTGACCAAACCCTGGGGGATCATCCAGTCTCTGCTCCCAGGCTGGGCTTCACACCCTGCTGGAGTCTCTGGCACGTGCCTCCTTCTTCTTGCCTCAGGTTCCCCTGACAAATAACCCTGTTGTGAAAACATCCCACTGCCGTGCCTGCAAGTTCTAGGAAAGCTCTGACCCATGATTTCTTCACAGCAGAAGATTCATTCAGCTAGAAAATATTCCCTCCACCCCTGGGGTGATGACATTGGGGCTGCATAATCCTTGCTGGGTTTGCACTGAGGGAAGAGAACACTTGGAGGGAAAGCACCTCCAGCAACCTCCTGCATATCTTGAGATTCTTTTGGGGAGCAAGGAAAGGGACTGGGACACTTTGTCCTGGTTTGGGGAGGGGGAGATTTCACAGCTCCACATTTGATTTGCTGGGAGTCTGCAGCTCCTTGGGGGATTCAGAAGGATTCCTTCCCTCTTCTTCTGCAGCAGGAATTTCCCCTACCAGAGGGGGACCCAAGGCTGAGGCAGCAACAGAAAAATTAATATAAATGGGGGGGGGGGGGGGTGGGTTGACAAAATAGGGCTGACAGAAGGGAGGAGAGACCCATACCTGTCCAGTGCCCATGAAACTGAAATTTTTGCTTTCTGAGGTTGAGACAGAAGCAGAATGCCTCTTCCCCTAAGAGGCAGAAAGTCAGCCCAAATCCAAGACATGCCAGTGAGGACATGGACCTAACACCACATCAGAGCACCCTTTAAAGAGGTGGAGAGGGAGGCTTATCCCTGTTTCAGTGTGAGTCCCTTTTTTTTTCAGAAAAGAAAAGTGGAAGTGTTTTCCACAAAAAGCATTGATTGTGCCATTATTGTATTGTGAGGGTGAGAGCCCCTCCAAGCCCCGTTTTAATTGCAGGACCATTGTACCTGTGTCTGGGATCACTGATGAGCTGTTCTGAGTGTGGCCAGCACTGTGGGCACCCCTGTCCAACAGCAAGCTCCGTGTGGGTCCTCCGGTGCCAAGGATGCTGCTGTGCTGTCCTGCTCCTGTGCTTTCCTGTTGCTCATGTGTGTCTGTCTTTGCTTGTCCAGGTCACTGGAACATCTTCCGAGCCCACACGTCGGAGCTGAGGATGACAGAAAGCCCAGAGAAGGAAACAAAGACCTTGTAAAGCAAAGAACTTTTCCCTAACTATTGATTTGTCTACACACAGACACACATACACATTTATATGAACTCCAGAGCTGCATTATTAAATAGACTGGCACTGCAGTACAGGTTACACTAGTGGAAATTCCAGCAACTCCAGAGAATGATCCCAATCCGTTGGCATCGAAGCCACAGCCGTGTAGGTGCCTCTCTCCAGCAGGAGAGCCATCACCTCCCACTGTCCCAAAGATGTTGCATGAGCAGAGGGAGGAGGGAGAGATGGTGGAGGGGTGGGACCTGCTGTGACAAGAAGAGGTGGGATCCATCCCAGGCACCCCAGCATCCCTGAGGAGCATCAGGAATGAAGCAAAGGGGAACATGACCGTGCTTCTTAGCAGCTGATGGTAGAAAGATGACCTGCAAAGAAAGAAAAATCATCCCTCCTTCTTTCCTTGGATCCCCTGGGAGCTGCAAAGGGGTTTCTTTGACTGAATGCCAGCCAAGGGGTGTTTTTGAAAAATCTCTTGTCTTCCAGCTGGGATGATTCTTTTCCCTCTTTGCAGGTCACTTGAAAATGTAGGCTTTGGGAGGACCCACCTGTTGGCAGAGTCTGAGACCCTGAATGCTGCACTAAGGTCGCTGCTCAGCATTTATTGTGCTATATATTTATATGTATCCTATATAGTATCTACCAAGCTGTATTCACAGGAGGGGCATCTCCCAAAGGGCAAACAGGATCATTTCTGCAGCATGGGGAGGACGGTGTGCAGCAGCATCACCTTCCCCCTGTCTGGAAACAGCTTTGGGGGATTTTCAGGTTGTTTTGGTACATATATTTATCCCTGGATTCTTGTTTTATTCTGTTTTGATAAATCTATTTATTTGGAGATCCAACTCTGTCTGACAAATCTGATTAAAAGTCTTCTTGATTCAGCTTCCTGTGCTGGTTCTCCTTTCTCTGTAGGGTCTGTGTTAAGGCTCGGGGATCCTGGTGGGGTCTGGTTTCATTGCACTCACTCGGGCAACATCCTCAAGGTTGGGATGCAGAGAAATCCCCCAGATGCTTTGCTCGTCCATAGGGGATCACCCCTTCCCATTTGCTTGTGGTCTGCTTAGAGCTCGGGGCTTGGGCCCTGAGCTGGCACTGCTCACCAGAGCCACGTGACGGGGCTGAGCTGCCCGAATTTATCCAGGAGAAAAGCCCTGTGAGGCTTGAGCATTAGGGAGGCTGCCCATGGTGTGAGGTGAAGCGAGAGGGGCTGAGCCACTTCCTTGCCCCATGGCCACCTGCATGGATGTGGCTGTGTGTGGGCAGGGAGGATGCTGCCTGTCCTTGGGCAGAGCCTGACCCCTCACTTGTCAGTCTAATTAGCTGGCCCTGGTGTGATCTAACTGGAGCTGAACCAAGGGCCAATTTGTGCTCATTTATCAGAAGTGGGGAGGCATTTGGAGTGAAGCTGCCCCGGTGGGGTCACAGGGAAGGCTGGGAGGAAAGCAGCATGAATTCTGCGTTGCCTGGTCCAGGTGAGGCTTCCTTCATGTATCTACAGGAAGCTGAGCCCATACAGGCTGTCCTGGGACCATGGGCACTAAGCCCAGACACAGACAGAGCTCCTGGGCACAACCCAGCTGAGCACCTTACACACAGAACTCCTCTGACACGCCCAGGAGGAGGGTGGATGCTGCTGGTTGCTCCATGGCCAGGAGAGACCCTTTGGTGAGCAGGAACAGAGGAACCTGCATGGGGTTGATCTCTTCTCCCATGGAACAAGCTGCAGCAGAGGAGGTTCAGGTTGGATATTGTGAAAATTCCTTCTCCAAAAAGGCTGTCCAGCCCAGCTGCCCAGGGCAGTGGTTGAGTCCCCATCCCTGGAGGGACTGAAACCTGTGTGGATGGGGCACTTGGGGACATGGGACAGTGGTGGCCTTTGCAGGGCTGGGGGAAAGGTTGGACTGGAAGGTATCAGAGGGCTTTCCTAATGTGAACAATTCAGTCATTCTACAATTTTTTGGACGTGGTCACTGGCATCCCTCCCTGAGCAATCCCTGCCCAGACTGTGCTACGCTGTACCTCTAGAGAGCCCCATGTTTCTGAGGTGGCCACAGAGCTGCCTCACCCCGGTTTCAAAAATGCCCTTTGTGGGATGTGGGTCTTCCGTCCTCCCCTGACACCCCCAGAGCAGAGGGGCACAGGAGAGGAAAGACACCAGCTTCCCCTTGGCTTATGGGTGTCAGAGACTTCTGTTTTCCCAGGACCGGAAAGGACCGTCCTGTCGCAGCGCTGGGGACACACAAAGGGGCTGGTGGCCCGGCTGTGTCACAGCGCTGCTGGGGACACAAGGCAGAGGGACAGGCTGCGGGCGGGATGGAGCTGTGGGCAGCGAGCAATCCCTGCGGTGGTGTCAGTGAGTCCCAGAGCTGCCCAGCCTTCCCAGGAGCCTGCTCTCCCCGCGGGGCACCCGTGGGATTAACCCTTTTAATTGGATCAGCAGCCCCGGGGCAGAAGCCGCCGCTTCGCGGTCGGTGGCATCGCCTTCCTCGCCCTGCTCCTCCTCCGTGCGTCCGTGCCCGCCGCAGGCATCGCCCCGCCGGGACCCCGAGCTGTGAACATGGGGTGGATTCGGGGGCAGAGCTGATACGGTGCTCTGGCACCTTTCATCTCCCGCAGCACCGGCTGCGTGTGCACATCTGCGAGCAAGGAGCAGCCTCAGCTTGTGGCTGCAGAGATGGTCACGGAAGCGTGCAATTGTTTGGGCTGGAAAAGACCTTTTCACTCCCTCCAACTCCCTGACAGGAGGGGGCGGCCAGTGGGGTCGGGGTCTGCTTCTGCAGGTCCTGCTGCTTTCTGCAGGACTCAGACCTCCTGCTGCCGCTTCTCTGGAACCTGCACCTCCTGCCAGCCCTGGCGCGATCCTCTGTCCTCTGCTGTGACCTGTTTGGAGCACAGTAAGCGCACCAGGTCTCTCACGGCTGGTGCAGCCCGTGCTGAGACACCCTCGGTCTCTGCAGAGAGCACTTGGGCACCGGCTAGGGACCAGCTTGGGTCCTTAGTACCAGGCAGGCAGGGACTGGATGGACCTGGTTCAGCTGGAAGATATGCCAAAAGCGTTTTCCCCTTCAGAAATGCTGGAACTGGGACCAAGGGAAGGAGGGGCATCCCATTCTCGGAGAAACCCAGCCTTATACTGGACACAGCCCTGAACAACCTGAAGTAACTTCAAAGTTATCCCTGCTTGAAGACAGAGGTTGGACCAGGGACCTCCTGGGGCCCCATCCAGCCAGAATTACCCCGTGGCTGTGTGTTCTGGGATGGATGGCAAGTCACCACCAAAAATCTTGGCTCTACCTCTGGGGTCTTAAGGCTTTTTTATGTCAGAGCCGTGCTATTTCATGCTGTATTACCAGGTTAGTCAAAAAACTTCTCCAAACTATATGTCTATATAATTGCCAGCTACACTCACTTCCTTGGCCCTTGCTGTTTTCCACTGCATGGGGTTTTCAGCCACACAAAATACCTACTTTCACCTTCATGTGCACCAAGCCCCCTTCCCTGTGGGGAAGCCGCCACATCCTGGGGGTGTCTACTGGAGCCCTGCTGCCCGTAGGAACAGCGGCAGAGCCAATGCTGATGATGGGCACTACTCAGCTTGGGGTGTCCCTGCACCACCAGGGGAAGTGCAGCCACACCAGAGAGGGTCTGCTGCTGCTCCAAATGTCCTGTGTAAAGCCCACAGCTCAAGAGGTGGCTTGAATTTTTAGGCATTTCCTGATGAATTGGGATGTATGTTCTTGTATCACCTTCCCCCAGTCAAAGGGAGAGATTTCTCCCCAAAATGATAGGATTTCCCTTAAAATCTCTCCACAGAGACCCACATACTGCACTGGGCAAACGTTTCCCCTGCATCCACTCTCCTCTGCACATCCTTTTCTTTTTTTTCGGATGAGAAATGGCGAAACCAGAGTATTGTCAGTGCTGCAGGGCTCACAGGCTGTTCTCATGCCACCACAGACCTGTCTCCTCTCCAGACTAAACAGTCCTAATATTTCCTGTCTCTTCTCCCATAGAAATGTGTCTGTAATCACTCTTTTCTCCTGTTCCTTCACCTTTTTGGATGCAGGAACAGCTCAGGATGTACCTAATCTGGCAGGTTGTCCAAGCTCTGCTGGGGAAATGGGATCACATTTCCCTGTCTCCAGCTTTGTCAAAGCTTGACACCCCCAGAATCAGGAAACAAAGAAATCCCTGCAGAGAGCAGCTTTGCCAGCAAGTCAGGACTATCTGGACACTGGAAAAAGCCCCTGGCTTCCTGGAAGAGTGCTGCTGAGAAAGGGGTGATGAGAAAAGCAGGGAAATCCTTGGAGATCGCAGCTGGAGCCAAAGGAGGCATGGAGGAAACGTGACTGGCATGGCACAAGCGCAGCTCCAGAGGCCCTTTCTTCTTGCAGGATGCATGGCCTTTGCCCATTCCCAAATGTGGGCATTCCAGAGGGGAGGTAGGACAGACCCATGGCACAAAAGAGCTGCTGGATTGTCCTGTGGCTCTCCTGCCCCGTGGGATGAGGGAGATCCACTTTTGCTGCCTCTGACTGAACCTCTGGATGGCTTTTCTTGCTCCCCTGTTTTTTGGCCATGGAAGTGTGTGGCTCCAACAGAGATCCCTGTTTGTACAGGCTGGGTAAATCCAAAGGAAACTGCTTACAAGTCCTTCTCACCAGTGTTGTCAAAAGACCATGATTCAGTGGTACTTTTTTGGGTAGAAATTAATTAGTTCAGGCCCATCACAATTATCTAACTCAAGGAGCACGACAATAACCCACTGTCTAATGGCTCTTCACGGCCATTTAGCACCATCTGGCTCGTCTGATCAGGGGCTTTGCAAACAGTTGAAAATGAAGTAAGAAGGACTGCTTGGCCCAGACATCTCTTTTTGCCTCCCAGCTGCATGGACAATGCAAATAATCCTGGTGGACCCATTAGACACAGGGACAGAGCAAACATCAACCCACAGCTCACCCAGCTCCTCTGAAACTGGAGTCCCCAAGGGAAGGTGGTGGCTCTGGAAGGAGCAGGGAAAAAGAGCTTGGCCACATCTCTTGTACCCTAGACTGGCTCCTCTTGCAGCTTTAGGGGCCGAGTTTGAGTGGTGAGGACTGACAGCTTCCCTCCAGGTTATCCTGGAGTTCAGCCCTGTGGCATCAGACCCCCAAGTAGACACACCCACCCCTGTGGAACAGAGCCCCACTCAGGGCTAAACTCCAGGACGACCTCAGCAATCCATCCTCCAGCCTCCAGGCAAGGGCAACCAGAATGTATTAAACCCACAGGTCCAAAAAGGGTGGACAGGCAGGTCTCCAAGAAAACTTTCTAGATGGGAAATGCAGGCAAGTGTTCCCCCAGCACCACCTGCAATGTCAGTGTCCATCCAAACAGGGCAAAATTAGGAATTTTTTTTTTTTTTTTTACCCTACCTGCCTATACATCTGTTTTTAGCTTGGTGCTGAGTGCTGCAGGCTGCAGCTTTCACAGAAAACCTGGGAAAGGGGAGGTTTGCTCACTGAGGGATGACTGAAGCAGAAGATTTCAAGCAGGATTTGGCAGGGGGCTGCAGAGGGACCCATAGGGGCTCCTCCAAACCCTGTCAGGCTTCCGGCTCCTGTTCTGTGGCAGGAAGATCGGCACTGAAAAATGAATGGAAATATTGATCCCCTTCCAAGCTGCTTTTAGCACGTCCTGAGAAGTTATGCAGACGCCAGCGTGGGCTTCTGCTCCTCCCCAGCACAGAGCGGGAACCTGGAATGGCGTGGACAGACACAGAGGAGAGCTGCACCTTGTCCTTCCCTCCACGGCTTCCCTGGAAGTCAGGAAGAGCGAGCTCTACAAGGGGTGGAGGCTTTCTGTAAGTGCCCACGGCTGCATCACTCAGCCATCCCTC